AAAAAAAAAAAAAAAAAAAAAAAAAAAAGAACTAAGAAATTACAGAAGAACTTTTACAAATATTTATTTATAATGACAAAAATAAAGAAATATTTGGATTAAAAAATAAACTGCTTTCAATCTCCCAGATTGGACCAGAAAGAGTTAGTAACTTCAGAAAAGGTTAAGACAAAGGGCCACCTCTGTGTGAGAAGCACATGTCTAACCAGTACTTTCTGGTCACTACAGAACAAAAGGCTGTAGGGTATTTATTCAGACCTGATCTCAGCTGACAAAATTGGATTTTCATATAATAAGAGAATAAAAGTAGAAAAAAAATTCTTCAGCAAAAACAGCAAAAAATGGAAGGACAGCACTTTTCTCAACACTGGATAGTCATGTACACAAACAAGGCTGAACACATGCTAGTGAAAAGTACACATACCTATAATACCTGATCCTATGATGGAGTTGATAATGTTAAATCCAGCTGATGCCAGATCACCATTTCTTCCTTTATTCCTGGGCTTACTAACCAGGGCTGTATGGTCATCTGTTTCTATCTGTTTCAGGAAGACAAGGATGAGATTAAAAATAGGTGATAACATGGGTTTTACATATATTTTAAAAGGTTGCTTCAAACCAGAAAAAAAGAATTACTTTCATTGACACAGATTTGTAGAGGTATTTTGATGATTACATTTATTTTTTCCAGTGAGAAATCAAAGGGGTGCAAAGCATCTAATTCCTTCATAAGCCTGAGCCGTAATCTTCCGTAATTAATTTTTCTCTGAAAAAATATAAGTAGAGGAACAAAAATCTATAAAAACTCAGAGTTAGGCTGTTAAGGAGCTTTATAGTCATGTTGAAAAGGCAGAAATACTAATCAAGTATGTTGAAAAATATTTTGATTAATCTTATGGCTCAGTAAAAATAGCCCCCCTGAATCAGGGGAATTAAATCAATTTCAAAAGTTACTTGTGAAGTATGTCAACATATTAAGGTGTTCTAATTCAAAATTTTCTCTGTTTTTTTCTATATTTCTGTGTCTTTCAGTAGTTTATTTTATCATCAAAAGTAAATGACACCATAGGATTGGGTAGCCCCAGAAGGTTTCTGAGGGAAGGTCTGATACAAAGCAAAATTTAAGGTGCACGTTTGTAGCAGCTCCAGCAACTGAAGAAGTTATCTGCAAAAAGAATCTCTGCATGAGAAAACAACCATCATTTCCTACTACTTCTCTCCATATCACACCTAGTTTTACAGGTGTAGTGGAAATACTAAGTCACAACCTGAAACAGTGATTGAGCACCTGGTGGGAAGGCAGGGTCAACGCAGGGGAGCTCAGGTGCATGCGATGCCCCTCAGCAACCAGAAGGGGTGAAGGCAGGCTCCACCCCTTTCCAGTCCTCATTTAAGAGTTGGCAGTGAAGATAAGTGAATCTTGTTAGAGATTCTTACCTGCTTACGGCCTCCTGAAGGTAAGCAGATTTTCCCCATTTTGTTTTTGTATCTGTGGCTGCTGCATTTGGACTTGTTTGTTTTTTTGTTATAGCATGGGGTTATGACACCTTGTTATCATTGCTAAACTTTCTATTACATTTACAGCATTACAAAAGGTAGGATTCTTCCCCTGTGGAGTTCATTCTAGACTTATGAGTAGGCTATGCAGCCATGCAGCAGGAGTATTCCTTGAACTTCAATGACTTCTGCTACCTATAGCGTAGCTCGTAAAGAACTCTGCTAAACTAGAATAGCCTACTTCCCTATTTTGAGTAATTACTGGAATAAGAACACAGTGCTTTCTGTACAATTCAAAAGCCTTATAGCCCTTAAAACTATCTCAGCAACAGGCTCTTGGAGTGGCTCTTAGGAACTGTGAGACCAGCTGTATGCCACCAAACAGCTGGGCTTGCCCACAGTCATAATGATAGAATCAAAGAATCATGGAATTGTTAAGGGTGGAAAAGATCACTAATGCCATCTCATCCAACCTATTCGCACCATGCCTACTGACCGCATCCCTCGGTACCACATTTCCATGGTTTCAGAACATCTTTGGGGACAGTGACTCCACCATCTTCCTAGGCGGTCTGTGCCAGAGCATTACAATTCTTTCTGAGAATAACTTTTTCCCTGGCGTAACTTAAAGCTCTCCCCTCATCCTATTGCTGTTGTATGGGAGAAGAGGCTGACCACACCTTGCCACAACCTCCTTTCAGGGAGTTGCAGAGATCAGCGAGGTCTGCCCTGAGCCTCTTCTCCTAATGGAACAATCCTAGCATATATTGAACATGACAGACCCACCAGGACTCGAAGTACCTGAGTTCTAGCATCCAAGTGAGAGCCAATTTTGGCTGTGTCAAGCAGTCATAGAAATATATATAGGCTCACCAGTTTACTTTATTCTGATTTATTTTTACTTTATTCTGATTTACTCTAATAATTCTGCTGGGTACCTACAGCTCAATTCTTTTTCATTGAGTTAAAGAGAAACTCAGAGATAACAAAAGCTAGGGCTGCTGCCAGTCTCACAAAGCCCGACGAGAGCCCAGTCCGCAGCAAAAACCATCGCCCCTCGAGCTCCGCAGCGCCCTGCAAGAAGCCGCTAAGCGCCGCCGATCTCACCTGCGGAGCCCCGGCCGGTGGCTGCTCGATCCCGCCACGCTCCATGGCCACGTGCCGCTCCCCTCGCGCCTCCGAACCCCCGCGGACCCCTGAGGAGAAGCGGAGAAGCGCGGGGCAGCTCTCGCGCTCCTCCCGGGCAGCCTCCATGTGGGCGGCGCGGGCTCCTCTCTGGCGGGGGGGAGGCACGGCGGTCGGCAGCCTCCCGCCTTTCCACGCGCAGCCGGCCGGTCTCTCTCCACATCGCCCGCCTGCACCGGGGCCGTGCCCGTATGCAGAGCCGTTACTGCATTCTTTTTTTTCCCTCGGTCAGGTTGAGCTACTTGAAAAGAGGTAAAATTACTGTGCCGATGTTTGGAATCCTTAGTTACCTCAGTTATCTTCAGCTGAGAGCTCGCACTGAGAGATACTTTGTAAACATACAGTTTGCATGTATTTTCCTGTATCTTAAGCAAAACTGTAAACTAATGGCAAGAAGTGATTGCAGACAGCCATTAACTTCATGAAGAACTACTGTAGGCAAAACTTAAGTTCCATGCAGCTCCAAAACAACATTGAGAGCTTTCTGCGAAGACTGGAGGGACAAATCAGTGGAGCATGAACATGAGATTTTTAAACAAGATTAAATTATTAAAGAAAAAAAAAAACAAACCAAAACAAAAAACCAGAATTATGAAACATGCACTAAATGGCAAAAGAAAACAAAGCATGGTAATTTGCTTTACGAGTCTTAGCTCTTATGTTTGACAATATTTTGCTAGGTTTGCAATGGTTAAAGGAGCCAGTATGCTGTGCATCAGTAACTTTGTCCTTAAAGATCTATGATGCATGTGATTTAATATGAAGGGCAAAGTGCACATGAAGAGCATATATGATACATTTGTTATGTAGCTTAAGCACATGAGCTTCAGCTCCTTCAAAAAGAAGTCTGTAATAAACTCCATGACAAGTTTGCAGTCTGACATGTATTGTGGTGTGACCAGTCAGGTGATGTGAGTCAGCAGAGAAAATTTGAGAGGCCTCAAGTGTAAAGAAAAGTCCCTGTGATTCAGTAGCAATGGTAGGTTTTTTCAATTTCCTTTGGAGTTCTGTGTAAAAACGAGTAGTAAAGTTGTTTGAAGGTAGAGTGTAATAAAACCTTATAAATATGGAGGGGGTGGGGAGGGAAACAGCAATCATGATAAAAAGGGTCTTTTGTTTTTAGTGGAGAGTGTTTTTGGAAGTTTTCCTTAGTAGGACTCTTCCCATTTGGAAGATGATGCAGAGACTATGCCTCCAACTGAATTATCGTAGAGTGAATGGAAAGGATCAGCAATAATAATTTAAGATAATCAGATGTATTCATCTTGGAATCCTGAGTTAATTTGTATCCCAGGAACAGTAATTGCTAAGCTTTTGCTTAACAGGGACAAAGTGATGTTGGAAAATAGCCAAGGTAACATTAGTACTCTAGGAAATCATGCAGGAAACTACATAACCAATAGGCCTGACATATTCATTGAGCAAAATAGTAGAAACTGCAGTAAATAATAAAATACAGTGCCTTTGAGCTGTGTTGGCAGAGTTTTGTGGAGCACCTGCACTGCTACAACAGTTGTTTGATAATGGCTACTGCTAAATTGCTGAATGCCAATAAGAATGGTCATTCATAAGCACTAAATGTATTAAAGCAAACAAGACATTAATAAACAGCGAACTCAGTACTGTTAAGTTGTTGGTACACTCCAAGGATGTGTTCCAGGTCATCTGAAAACATAAAAGATGAGAGAACTTGGATACAAAGCTGGCATAGAAAAAGAAAGGCCATGTGATATGAATTTACAAACATGAAAGAATTCATTGGCTGTTATCTCTTGGTTTAAATGAATGACTAAATTAGAAGTAAAGGAGCATTTTTTTTGTAAGGGGTGATGTAATCATGTGACACCTTAATGTCAAATTCATTAATCTTTCCTGAAAAGGTCAGTAATCTTTTACTTTTCAGTAGTATCTTTCTCTATGAGGCAAACATAGTAAGAACAGCTGCTGTTCTCAATACTGAATTAATTTAGATGTAAGATACCCGGTAGGATGCTACAAGTTGTTACGGACCACTTCTTAAGAAAGATGTTGCTGATAAGTGAGGTGTTGTAATGCGTTTAAGCACAGTGGAATGAAAACTGTCCCTCTTAATTGACACCCCTGCAAGGACAGTCAAGATATTTTAAGGAATGTAACCTCCTTGTCTTGCAGTTGTAAGCAGTCTGCTAGCCCTGCCTGTTTGATTAGCCTAAACACCTGGTGTAAACCATGTTACTGGTCTGCTTCAGTGTAGGCTAAATAAAGACATGGGTACTTAACTACAGCCCTGGGTTATTAAGTAGGCAGACTTATCTTTGTTCTCCCTTGGAGTCTCTGGCTTTTAGTATTTGCTGTCTTGCCCTTATTCAGAATTTTGCGGATATTTCTGTTATACCCATTTTTCTTTACTTGCTCTTATTTTACTGTAACTTAATGTTGGGGGTGTTCTGTTGTTAGGTGATTGCTGTTCTGGTGATGTTTAAAGGAATTGTAATATGCAGTGTATATCATAGTTTGGTTACTGGTTGTGAAATAATGGATCAGTAGGTGTTGCCATGAGATTTGAACTCTGTGCTCTTCAGGCTTTTTATTTCAGTTACTCCTCTGTTAAATAAACAAGGATAAGCATTTAGTGAACCTACTCCTGATTTATGGTATCTTACACTGCCAGCCACGTGATTATCTTAATTGAAAGAAACTTAGAGAGCTGTTTTAGTGTACATTAAACTTGAAATCCTGACTATAGGATTGCAGACATAAAAACAACACTACTGTATTATTTTAGGTGTCATAGTTATACCTATATTCTTACAAGTGGGAGACCTGGAGGGAGGAAAGTAAGATATGAGTGACTGAAAGTGTGCCAGCTCTCAGCCAGCCTGAAGGATTTCAGTTTTCAGAAAAGTAGAAGGCAAGGGCAAGGATATGTGTTTTGCTAGCATGCATTTTTGTTTTTGTTAAATGTTTTAATTTTCTTTGCTATGTGCATAGCTGATTTATACTGAGTACAACCATATTATGGCTACCAGTTAGCTTAATTGCTCAGTTCACTTTCTGAGCTGTAGTGGAAGTTCATGCAAGCGTTGGTATTCTGCTGGATGTTAGTGGTTCACCAATCACATGATGTGTAGTACTGCAGCTTTCATTATTGTATTTCTCCAGTGCCTTAGCAGATCCTGTATGGAAGTAAAATCTGTTTTGAGTGGTATTCATTGGCTTTTATTTTCAAAGTATTGAAATTAGTGTCACTGTATTTGTTACTAGCTCCTGCTGTTTCGGCCCTACCTTCCTGTGCTCTAATCCTTCAGTGTCTTCAGAACAAATACAAAGTGATGACATTATTTGCTTTTTAGGGATTCTCTTGTGTTTTCTGAAATAGATAATGAACTGAATATATACTTAATATAGGGTGTTGTATACTTTATGTACACTTAAATACTAATGCCTTCAATATGATCAACTGTGGCCTCTTTTGGGAAAATGAAGCTTACCTAGTATTTTTCTTCTAGATAAGAAACTTTGGTTAAACTCAATCTACTTATGTAAATTGAATACAGAGCATTCAATTATACAAGTATCATAGTACATTTTTCTTTTATTGATTTACATTGATACTGCATTTCTAATATGCAATACTAATTATTTGCTGATGTTTTTAATTCCTCTTTGCAGAAATAAGTGTTTTTCTCATGGTGATATACTCATTGAACTCCTTTCTGAGCTGTTATAAGGCAGCTCATGCAGCAGGGATTTAAGAGCACAGATTTTTCTTGGGACTTGAAATTGTGCATTACTGCTATCCATTAGGTGTCTGCAAATTTTCTTTGAAAGACTATTGCTGACAAACAAAACCTCTGATACCAAAATGTCAGCAGTTAGTAACGACGTGCTTTATCCTTCAGGCACCAGGGGGCAATATTTGACTTCTTTTAGTTGGGTACTGTAAAGTGCTGGCAATCCTCAATAGGCCTGTGTGTGGTATCTGGTATGTGCTGAAATCTGTCAGGGTTGTCTTTTACTTCAGTTACCACATATACAGGCCCTAGAGTAAGAGGTGTATGTGGTTTTTTTAATAAGCACTATTACAATTGTAAATAAATGGTGAGAACAGCCCTTGAACTCAGAATCTGTGGGTTTTTGTGATATCTTCAAGAGAATTTGTCTAAAATAGAAAATATAAAATACAGTGATTCTGTTCCAGCTGTTTTTCTCAATAATGACTGACATAACTTGACATAAAATGGTCATAAGTCTTAGTAACTTGGCGTGCCTTAGAGTGCTTTCTCCAGTTTTGAATCTTCATCATCTACAATCTCGTGTTTTTCTTTGTTTCTGTGCAGAGTAAGGAGATAAGGTGGTACAAATCTGATGAAGAAAGCTGGTGTTTGAGTCGAGCCATGTGAGTATCTATGCTACAAAAATTGTAATTGCAACACAGATTATAGCTGATGATTACTGAGTTATTAAAAATTTTGTTTGCTGTACTTTGGAAACTATTTACTCCCTGTAAGTTTTTCTTTGTTTATGGTTTTAAAGTCTGTGTTGTGGACAGAATATTAATGACGAAACTTTGTGGTGAATTCAACAGTATAACTCTTAAATGCTCTGTGATGTTTTATGAGCATAGCATGAGAGTTCACAGTTATATACATTAGAAAGATGTAATCAAGTATCTTATGATGTTTCTTGTTGTTGCTTGTATGTTTGATGGAATTTTTTGTACCTATAAGGTCCCCTGTTAGGTTTTGCAATAATGCAGACTCGGGGGGACTTTAATCAGTGAAAAGATGGATGTGCTTTAAGAGGGAGTAGGAGAACAGTCGGGTTTTCTTTTTTTTTTTTTTTTTTTTTTCCAAAATAAACTGCAAGGGGAAAAAGGAAAAAAAAAAAAAAAAAAAAAAAAGGAAAAGAAGAAAAAAGTAGAAATGGATTGTGGGAAGTAATGATTTTAAAATGTTAGGACGAAAAAAAGTAGGAGGCAATTGGGC